ATATTTATATATTTTAAAAGTATTCATTTTGAGTGATCCCAGGAAAGAATTTGTATTGGCTAGCAAAAAAAAAGCATTTGAAATCTAACACTGTTTACAACAAGGGGGCTGGATACGTTCCTGTATTATAGGTCTGTTTACAGGGTTTAATTTTAACCCCTAAATAATAACACGCTTTTGGCTGAACACAGTGAAGAATAGGACCACGGAAAGTAACCCAGTGATCAATTTTTGGCGCTATTTATTCTATTTATGGCCTACCGTATATAATCTTGTTCCAAACCACTCCGTGCACATCCGGTGCCAAATTAAATTGCCTCGCGGGGAAAGCATACGAAGAACCAGGGATATATAGACACATCAGGCTATAAAAGAAAATTTGATTGTGTGGACAGAGCTGATAAATACAAATAAATCAAGCAAAAAAGTAAATTATCAGTAATTGCTCGATGTATACATTCAGAGAAAGCAAGCATAAAGAGTGGGTGGGGATGGAAATTGTTGGGCCTTGGTGACTTGGCGAGTCCAGATCCGGAAATCATAAACTTTGAAGGCTAATTTCTCATATATTGTTCTTTAAACAGCTGTGTGGTTAAACGCTTGTAACTTCATAAGGAAATGTCCGATTTGAATGATTTTTTTACCATTTTTATAGCTATTATTTTACCCTCTAACACTGTATTAATAACTCAAAATCGGTTTTTGCGACGAGTGACTGGTTTGGCTTGTCTTCGCCACATATAGACATGTCATTCATTATTATGAAATAAAAGTGAAATGAACCCCCAAAAAGACAAGCAAAAACGTGCAGTGAACTTTTACATTCATTTCTTTATTTCGGAAATGTATTTATATAGAATAAAAGAAACCCAACAAATTAAGATGAAGAAAACATGAACAATAGAAACAGAAAATTTTCTTCCTAAACTTTTACAAAAAACTTTGTTAATGAGATAAAAAGCAATTAATGAGATATAGATTTTTGAACATATAAAAATTTGCGGAAAATATGGAAAAAGGGGTAGATGGACGGAATTATCAAATTTTGTATGTCTGAGTCAGTCGATTGTTTACACATCCAAGATAAGTCATGTGACGCCCATCGACAAATCCGTCTATTAATAGGTTTTAAATGTTATGATTTTTAAAATACATAAAATGACGCCAGGTAGATTATAATTTTTTTAATTATTTTCACAATTTTGTAATCTTTTCAATAATACCAATAACACATGCAACACTAACAATTAGAAAAGAGTACAAATACCCTGATTACACAAAACTCCTGGTCAAGGCTTCATAGAAAATGTTGGGTTGTAGTAGAAGGCCCCTTTCTAATAAATCTGTCAAAAAGTGTGTTTATGGGATTTTGGTCTACAGTAGTTGTTTTTTTTAAATAGAAAAAGTTACCGTATAGTCAAGGCGTTGTGGTAGAATGTTTGGTAGTAGTTAGTGGGCCCCCTGAGGCCTCTCGGGGGCCCATTTATACTGGGACCCAGAAAGAACATGCGTTACCCTACTGTTCAGGATCGATAGTAAAGGGCTAGCTAGGCACCAGAGTATTTAGGTGAACCCTTATCAAACCAATATTTTATTATATGCCTGCAGTGGCCTAACAAGTCATGGGGCGGTAAAATGTTGGGCCCTTGCATATCAGTAAATTAGTTTTGCTAAGTGATCAGGGTGGGTAATCTCCCACAAATAAAAAAGTAAATTATATTTAAATTTATTTCAGAGGTGCCACAATTATAAAATATCTTACCTCAGCTCTAACCATGTTGGGGCTGAAGTGGGTTAGACCCTCTATCTGTAGAAATTCCTTACACAGGCCTCTCTAAGGAGTTCCTTGATTCCACCACTGATAATAGTATTCCAATTAAATAATTTATGTAATAGTACTACCAATGTCGAATAGTGTAAAAAATGAGTATAAAATTTCGGGATTAAAAAATCACTTTGAAATTTACTATCAATTTATAGGGGGTCGAGTCGAGTGTGGAAAATCACACTATGAGCCCCAGGGGGAAAAAAGTTTGTGAAGCGAGGCAGTAGAGCAAAACAACAGAAAGGGGCTACTGTATACTACTCAGAACAGTACTTGAAACGGTAGTCGCTTGTAATGCATCAAAAAGTGAGGCACTATCTAGTAGTATACTCCCACATGTAATGAATTAACCTACATGTAGGCGTGGCACTATAGCAGGTCCGGTAGCTGCCGATCCCGTATATATATAAATATATTTAGCAATATGACAGACAAAACATTAAATGTCATTTTCATGTTTCAAATATCATGTAATATCATGTTATATCGTGTAATATCAGTTTTCACTATTGTGCTGCCAGCTGCCTCCCTATCAAAATTCACCACTGACAAATTCAATGCTATATTCTTGTGATTATCTTATTCATCATCATATCATGTAATATCGTGTAATATCAGTTTTCACTATTGTGCTGCCAGCTGCCTCCCTATCAAAATTCACCACTGACAAATTCAATGCTATATTCTTGTGATTATCTTATTCATCATCATTATCATCATTAAGGTTTATAATGAGTATTAAGAAAGACTCAAGCTAAAAAATAAAATGCACTTAATAAAGAATATTAATTAATTATAATAAATTATTTTCAAGAAACCCATACAATGCAATATTTATTGTGTAACAATACTCAAACTTAAAGCATGTAAAAACGCATTCAAACAAACCATTATAAACTGCCTGTCTACAGACATACGACCTTCGAACTTTGGATTTTGGTTTAATTCCCTTGACAACCAAACGTGACAGATATGTTTTGGTCGACGTGCCATCTTCACTGATCCTTGTTTATTCATGATAAAACACAAAAATCAATCCTTTACAAATCTATTGAAATCACTTATCTTTGCGATAAACTATCATGCAAATTGCTTTGTGTAAACTACAACCCTGAATTTTGTTATAGATGATAAGTTGTCAGTGTGATTGCCAACAGTTACAAAGATGATTGAAAGGAAGTCATTAATTTTCCAGCATTTTTATCCACATAATCCACACAAACAATACTTTCCCAAATTCTGTGAGTCAGCAGCATACGATTCATCAAAATATGAGCTAAAGAAAAAGTTGCCACGTTGTTTTTTTTCCCTAGAAAAAATCCACAAAATGTTATTTGTGACACCAAGGAGGTATACCCTTGGTGACACTAACCCTGTGATTTCTTTGAATGCAACCTATAAATCCTGAAACTGTGCACTATTAAAACTATAAATTCAAAATGTCAGATCTATAAAATATGTTTGAAATTCAGATCAGATTCAACTTGTCATTAAAATCCATAAAATATTCAGTATTTAAGAAACAAAAAATCCAATTCAATACAGTATAATCATATTATTAGATCCTGTCTTGCATACTATTTTTACCGTGTCAAGATCATCATCTTTCTGTCTGTAATCAAAAGCTATCAATTGCCAAGTACAGATGAACACATATTAAATAATTCATGATTATTCGCTGGTTTTACTGATGTTCAATAATATTTCTTTGTGCGGATTTAACCAAATATAGATGCAGGATAAAGAAGCCAGCAGGCGTTAATAGCTCATACTAGAGCTGTGCTGTGCATGTTGGATAATCCAATTAAACTTTACAACATTCCCTCAAAATTCTACAATGAAATTATAGATTGCATAATAAGTATCACTACCAGGAAATAGAAAACAATAATTGTTAAATTTTTCCTGTTTGTTTATATATAGAGCATTTATGTATTATATCTCAGCGATAGGATGGAAATTATCACATAAAAAGCAACAACAATTTGGAAATTGAACTGTAAATAAATTGGCAGTAAATTAAGGATGATACTTAAAAGATTTCATGTAGATGAGTAGCTGGTAGTAAGCAATGGCAGTATTTTTTTTTTTTTAAGAATGTTCAATGCAATTATATAACCTTGCTTTAATTGCTTCAAAAATGTTCTTTCTTGTCTTTAAATTTAAAAACTAATGAATGACCGCAAACAGTAATATCTTAAGACCTGAGACTTTACGACAGAAATATTCAAGGAATTAGTTTTCCAGGTTGGGGTCAAAGGATAGATTGACACCCCAACTGCAAAAACTCGGAAGCATACAATAAAGGTGACTGTGATAAGCACTCAAGTAGCTCTTAAGTACTTTTATATTTTTGTATTATATTCTGGATGCCAAACAAGTCACTCGTCGCAAATCGTGTTTTTAGAAAATGGCCAAATCATGCTGGAATGTCAAATTTTTGAAAATCTATTTTATTGCACTAAACTATTACCTTTATATACCTACACATCATTCTATGCTGTTATTTTCCCAATGTGCAATGTTAAAACAACATTTTTAAGGATTTGATGATAGTTTCTGCATGATAAATGCCTGAAATCATAAACTATGAAGGCTGATTTCTCATATATAGTTCTTTAAACAGCTGTGTGTTTAAACTCTTGTACCTGACTTCATAAGGAAATGTCCGATTTGAATGATTTTTTTACCATTTTATAGCTATTATTTTACTCTCTAACACTGTATTAATAACTCAAAATTGAATTTTGCGACGAGTGACTGGTTTGGCTTGTCTTTGCCACATATGGTGATGATGTGATGTCATCATGACCATATTTAGTCATGATGTACCTATATATGGTGATGTTGTGATGTCACTATGACCATATTTAGGCATGTCACATTTTTTGTCAAATAAACTTTAGTAGTCTGTACAGGGCTTTAACAAGGACAAGCAATGTACTCGCAGGTTTCAAACTTGCTCAATATTGCACTAATAGTCCACTCCATATGTGTGTGTGTACTAAGTCATTATGCTTTAATAGATGTCCTGCAGTTTTTTTACCAAACCACCAAATAAAAAAGATCAACTTAATAAATACCTGAGATGGGATCCAGTAAAGGAAGTTGCCAATAGCAACACCAGCTGCTGTTCCACCTCTGCCTACAGTCAGTATGACATCATCAAACCTGTCAGTCACTCCCTAAAATAATAATTCAATGAAAATGATCAATAAATATATATAATCAACCAATCAATCAATAAACCAATTAATCAATTCAATCAATTATCCCATTAATCAATCATTAACACTCTGCCCGCCAAACACGGACGCAATGCTTGACAGCCAATCAGGGAGATCTCCGTATTTCAGGTATTTTTACGGAATCCGATAGATGGGGTAATTACTGACATGTACTAACAATTTGAACACTATATTCAGTCTGGACCGTAAGTATTTCACTATATGTTTGTTTACATTAGCATAGAGCAGTATTTATTTACTTTCACAAAATCGCGATTATCTCAGCTTCCTTTTGCAAAATTGCATAAATCTCCAAAAGTGTGTCATTTTCATTTTACTGTTACGGGTCACAGACTGTGATTAGAATAAAGTGTTTGGGACCATTGTAATGTAAAGCTAAAATGTTTGTAGTTCTTGTAGTATTCACTACATGTCAATCTGATCACATACACACTCTCTACGAGCTTCGGAAAGGTGTTAAAATTGGCTAAAAATCTGGCGGTGGCTGATACTATTTTTTCAATCCCCTGGCGGTCAGAGTGTTAATGAACAAAATCAATCAAAACAATCAATCACTTTATCAATGATCACGACATCATTATATACATGCTAAAAAATGTTGCACTCCTATTTGCTACATATACAAGTGCAATGTTGCACTCACATTTGATACATATGCATACAGGTACAATATAAACCCTTTGGGAGTGGAGATGTTTTAGTTATTAAACTAATGCATGCATGATTAGAGCCCAGGATCCCTGGATTACCAGGCAAGCATTTCAACCACAGAGCTACAGTACAACACTACTCAAAATTAAACACTGTTAAATACAGTAAATGTATTCCATAATAGATCTGTTAAGATTGTGCTGGATGAAAAACCAGATATTTTAATATATTAGTTTGCTCCAATCAACTTACCTGTTCTAAGAGTTCTTGCCAGCCACACAAGTAACCATGGAGGCCAACAACATTGGATCCACCAATAGGGATTGAATATGCTTTAATACCCTTTTCCTCTCTAAAAAACAAAAATAAGGAAAAAACATATTTGGCAACATTTTAATAAAAAAAAAACATGAATATGCTTAACAGAGCCCACAAAGACACATCAAATCAATGGCAAACATTGTATAAGCCTCCATCTGTGCTGTGTTTTCAATACATGTAAAATTTTTCTACTGCTAAAATGTGTTTGTCTAACCCTGAGTTGATATCTATTATTAGCCAAAGGGCAGGTGAGGAGGTAATGCTGGGAGAGGGATGCTGATGGGCCACACAACTTACAAGAAAATGTATTTGACAGATGAAAGCAGCCGTGATTGCTGCACAACAAATGCACACATTTACATCACTTTAAACCATAACTGCAACTTCCTGCAGTCTGTCGGCAAGCCGCTGCATTCTTGGCTCAAGGTCGGTCTTCTCTTGAGCTTTTATGGGAACCAAGTACATGGATGCACCCATCAAACTGTTCAATAACATGTTCCCATGACAACCAGTCTCAGAAAGGTTCTAATAAAAGATGCAAAATTAATTGCTGAATGATCGAAAATATGAGATGAATGTGTTAAGTAATGATTTATTTTTTTTTATTATTATTTTCATTTATTTACTTGGAGCCCTGGAGAGCAGTTGGCTGGGCATAGGCAGTGAGTATAAGCACAGCCTTAAAGAAGTGGGAAAAGTCAAGGCTAGTAAAAACACTAGACTCAAATTAGACCAGCGGATAGAGGAGGCGATGTTTACACTGAATGTCATATAATGAGTATTAAGCAGTGGAAAATCAAGAAATTGAGAATAAAGGGGTCCAGGGAAAGACATTCGCAGACCAAGGGTCCAACAACCATGGTAGGGCTGAGAAAAACTATAATTGTGGCACCTCTAGATTGCTGGAAATGGCTCTCTTACACTTAAATTTGAATACAATTTTCTCCATTCTTTAAAAAGAACTTAAAAATAATATGAAGGGGCACAGGTCAGCTGAGTCCCCCCAGGGTTCCATCTTCAATCTGCCACTGATAAGTATTTACCTCTGACCTGGACCTGAGTAGAAG